AAAAAAAAAAAAAAAAGCTGCCTTCTCTTGCTGGTGGTGGGTCTGGCTGCCTGGTGTCTGAAGAGAGTGGGAATTGATGGGGTGTTGAGGCCACGATGAGACTGGGTTTGTCCACCAGGACTTGGGACCTGTCACTGGCTAAGGTGGTAATAGGCTCAGAAGTGGTAGAATTGCCTGATGGAGATGAACAGTGGTCTTAAGAACGTAATAAATGAGAAGCATTCGTGGAGCATCTGCTGCACGCCAGGCTCTGTGCTTTACCAGCCTTTTTCCTTCCAATCCTGTGAGAAAATCCCCTGTCCCGATTCTTTCATAGACAGGGAAGCTGAGGGTCAGTGAGGTTAAGGACTCAGCCAAGGCTGGATTTGGCCAACTCCAGAGCCCCTGCCTATACTGTTTAGTCGACAAGAAGGCTGAGTTGCTTCTGCATACCAGGCGCTGTCTTGGCTTCAGGGCCTGCCTGACACAGCTCAGTTTTAGGGGGAGCTGGGCCTGAATGGGGGTGGGTCAAGGGTTTCTGGTGGGGAAGGACCAATGGATCTGCTGCCATGGATGGATCCGCCCCCGGGGGGCATGGCTGGCACATCTCTCAAGTCACACAGCGCCCAGACCTGGAGACCAGAGACTGCCAAACTTGGCCCTTCCTGTGCTCGACTCTCCTCCCACTGGGGCCCAGAACTTGTGCCCAGTAAACACTTGTTTCCATGCCAGGGATTTTTCTTTTTCTTCCTGCCTCTACCACATGCCTTGATTTCCTAGTAAACTTCCTCCCGATGCCTTCCAAGTTTGCTTACTAAAGAGAGGTGAAAAAGAAGTGTCCCCATCTGGGTCTGGCTTGGGAGAGGAATCCAGGGCCCTGCAGGGTGTGGCAGGGGTGAAGGGGAGAGAAAATATGCCAGTGGGGACAACTGTGATCAGGAACCTTCTGGCCTGAGCAAAGAGGGTCGTAGGGTATGTGAGGTGAAACTGAGCAGGACTGCATCATCAGGTGTGCACTGGCAGCCCCTTGTTCTGTTTCCTCTCCGCTCCATGGTGGACCAAGATGGGAAGCTGACTCTCTAGATGGCTCCTGTCTGAGAAGGGCTGGGCCTGTGAGTAACCAAGGGCTCTTGACCCTGAATGACTAGGGAAGCTTGGCAGGGTTCTTGGCCTGGTGGAGAAGGCCAGGACCTGCCTTGAGCTCTGGATCTGCCATTGACTGAGCACTTTCAATGGGCCGGGAGCCAGGCCCTACAAGGCTTCGGGGGAGGGGCAGGAACAGCGGCATTGGCCTGTGTCCTGGAGCGGAGCAGGGTATTTTAGTGGACTGCACACGCCAGTGTTTGTGTAGGAGCAACTCAGCTCTCACTCTCTGTGGAGAGTGTCCAGGCTGCTGGAAACTGAGGCGGGGGAAACCCAGGCAGCATGCCCGCCAAGTTGGGCCCATCCATCAGCTCATTTGAGGTACAGGAAGGCAGTCCATGCCTCTTCCAGGATTCCAGGCAGCTTGACTCTCCTAAGCTTTTTGTGTTGCTGTGTTTCCTTTTAATTTCTTAGAAGACTATTTTTGAAAATTCTAGCCTGTCTCTGCTGAGCTCATAAAGAACAGACGGAGGGTTTTATTCCTGCCAAGACCAGTCAGACAGGGCCAGGAGGCAGCAACAGGCAGGACAGAGTGAGAACCCAAGTGGGAGGGGAGGCCCCAGGGTGGGTAGAGAGCCAAACAGTTGCCCCACCCTCTGCAAGCCTTCTCCTCCTGTCACTTCTGCTTTGCTTGGCCCTGGGATTTACAAGGTCTTGCATTTGAGGGGCGATCCCTTACAGGTGTCAAATATGTGGTTTAGTATCATTTGTTCACTCGTTCACTCTTTAATTCATTGGCCAAAACTTTACTGGGTGCTTTCTAGGTTCAGGTTCTGGGTTGGTCCTCAGAATAGAAATTTAGAAGAGCCCAATCCCTGCCTTCTTGGCATTGCGGGGGCCTCCCACAGAGCAGCCTCCCGGTGCAGGTTCAAGTGTGCTGTGAAGGAGACGTGTGCAGCACTTCAGAAAAGGTTCCTGGAAAAAGCTACAACTAAGCTAGACTTACAGCCTGGCGGAAAGAGGCAGAAAGGCTGCAAAGAGCCTTCCAGAAAGAAAGAAAGCCTGGTGTGTACACACTGTGGCTGAGCAGTGAGAGAAAAGAAGAGGAGGGCCTCAGATGAAGCTGGGGAGATGGCAGGTCCCTGGAATCCTCCTTCAGAGGGTTTGGACTTCTTTCTGACAGTATGGTTGGGATGTGCACCAGGGAGGGTGGCAAAGACATGATCAGCTTCCAAACCCGACACTCTGGTCTCCAGGGGAGAACTGGGTTAGTGGATTGAGGCAAGGGGTAGGTTAGGAGACTGTTATGGTCCTCTAGATGAAGGGGTGGGGTGGAAGCCCACTCTAGAGGACTAGAAGGGAAAGGTGTTGAAATTACAAGAAGTCCCCAACAGATGAACAAGTTGTATTCTGAGAGCACATTTGTAAGTTACTGTCTGAAAAATATTTTCACTCTGCATTATATCAATAGCATTTCCTTCAGATTAGTACATATAGATTGAACACATTCTTTTCAATAGTTGCATAGTATTCGATAACATGGATGGAGCTTAAGTCATTAAACTACTCCTTCACTGGAAACTTTAGCTATTCTCAGTTGCTTATTTTTTCAGCCACTACAAATAAAGTTGTGATGGACATCATGTGGGTGTATGTGTGTACACTCGCTATTTTTTGTGTGTGTGCTTTTATACCTGCAGGTTAGTTCCCCAAAATGAGATTTCTGGATCAAAGGACATATATGTTTTTTATTCTAATAGTTGCTGCCAAAATTCCTTCCAAGAGGTTATAGCAGTTCCCTCTCTCTTCACCTATATTTGAGGGTGTCTGTTCTTTTCTAAACTTATCAGCATTGGATGTAACCATTCTTCATGTTTCACATGTGAAATAATTTAAGACCGGTGATACCAAACCAGACCTATTCTGCCCGTTGTGATACTTAGACGAGTTTTGCAGTAGAGAAAAGATTCATTCACAGGGCAGCCTAGCCAAGGAGATGAGAGAACAGCTCTCAGAGATCTACCTCCCTGAAAACAAGGTATAGGAATATTCATGGGTTAAAGAGGTGGGTGGTCTAAGGCATGGGGAAAGGTGATTGGCAGTGGGTACTTGGTGATCTGTGCAAGCGTAGTCTGGGTTGTGGCCCTTCCCTTCGTAGGACACGTGTTCAGAAAATGGCAGCGTTAGGATGATGGGGGGAAGAATTGTTGGCCCTCTGCATCAAAAGGCCACCCCTGAGGCATTTGCACCGGCCCAGTAGAAGGGGCCATGGTCTCAACCAGTTTAAGCTGGACAAGAGCTGCCCCCAAGTTCCTGAAAAACAACTTAAGCCACTGTTACCATGGTGACCTATATGTCAGAGGTGGTATTTACAAGGAAGCGAATGAAGGCTAAGTTTACAGCGTTTACCTAGGTGGCTTTGAGCTAAGTGGGTTAAAAAAATCAGCAAGTAGCAAGCGACTAAAAAGATTAGCTACTTGGAAGGCTGAGGCGGAAGGATCGCCCGAGCCCAGCAGGCTGAGGCTGTGGTGGCCGGGAGCGGCCACTGCACTCCAGTCTGGGCAACCGAGTGAGACTCCAACTCAAAAAAAAAAAAAAAAAAAAAGATTAGCCTTCAGTTTCACTGATTCCTTGTGAGAGTTTTGATTTTCACTTCCCTGACTCCCACTGAGGCTTTTTGGATGTGTGTTGTGTGTTTTCTTTTCCTCTTCTGGATACTCCCTGTTCATATCCTCCGGCAGGTTTGCTGCTGGGGCCAGGTCTGTGTCATCTCTCTGGGACTGAAGGAGTTCTCCTTTCAGGACCCCTTTGTCACTAGTTTTGTCAGCTATTTAAGGTGCGATATCTACTACAGTTTGAGGCATTTCAGGGACATTCACTCCACACACAACCTTGCTTCCATTTCAAGAGTGACAGCCCTGCCGAGGCATCTGTTCTCTACCCTGTGCCCAAGCTAACCTGACCACCTCTCCTCTGGGGGGCCCCCGGTTGGTGCTACCCGCATTCCTAGAAGCTTCAAATGGAAGTCTTTCCAAAGGGGCCCCTTCACAAGAGCTTTGCCACAGAAGGGTTCATGGCCACCACAAAGTGCCCCCTACCCAAGCAACCCCTCTACCCTGGCATCTGCCATGGGACCCCCAATCCTCACTTCTTTAGTCGCCATAGCCCTGCTTTTGTTCCTGGGCTTTGGGGCCACTATGAAATGAGAATCCACATCAGCCACATTCATTTGCCTCACACAGGACGGTTTGCCAAGTAGAGGCATAAAGTGAAGGAGCCATGCGGGGGGGCCTTCATCTGCCCCTTGGGGGCTCAGAGCTCCCACCTGACAGATCCTTTGTATGGCTTTCACCCCTCTACCAGGGCCTTCCTCTTTCCAAGCGACCAGCAGATCGACTTAGAGCTCTGGGCAGAGCAAGCAGAGTTTAACAGCACTGAAGCTCCACCAAATGCGCGTGCAGGACAATTGTATCTTCTCCATCAGTCCCAAGGTTGGGAGCCTGAGTCCTGGGCAGGAGCAGATGGTGGAGTTCAAATATAGGTGATGCTCAAATCCCACCTCCCTCCCACTCTGTCCTTCCAGTACTGGAGACCCCTTCCCTGGCCTTTTACTGTGTGACTTCAGGGTACCCCAAAAGGTCATTCCCTGGGAGGACTGCCTTCCCAACTGCAGTCTAAGAGGTTATCTAATTTCCCTCTTTCCCACGCCAGCTCAGGTGTGAGTTGTTCCCAGGGGCTAATAGGTATGCCATGTCCATTTTTTCCCCCACTTGCACCAGGGTTCAAGAACTCACTCCCAGACTGTCTCTTTCCTTCTAGCCACCTGTTCGTCGGCACTGATAGCCTCCCAGTGCTCTTCAAGGTGTCTCATGGCCGGGAGATCCTGGTGAGGCCAGGGACCGGAAGAGGGGTCTTGCTGGACAACCAAGAGAGGAGCAGGGGACAGTACTGCCCTGGGGAGTTGGGTCCAGATCTCTCTGCTGGGTATGTCATTTCCTCCCTGGGAAGGATGCTACCCATGGGCTTTTGATTTCCAGCTAAATTTCATAGGCGTGACTGTGATGCTGGAACAGAAGTATGTGCACTTCACCTCCACAAGCCACCAGTTCATCCCTGTGCCCATTGGCGACACACTACCCCCACGGCAGGTGAGTGGTCTGTGTTGTCCTGTTGACCAAGAGGCCTAAGTGTTGATCTCTGTGTATCTGTGTCAGTCCTTGACAGGGTCACAAAGATGCTACCCTTTAAAAGTACCCAAAAGGTGAGGATGGCAGGTTGAACCCCCAGAACTGGCAACTGGAAGAGATTCAAAGTGAAAGCTTCAAGTGCCTGTTACTAAGTGCTTTGCCAGGCGCAGTTCCTAGGCAATAGTGGGGATTCTTTTCATCTAGCACAAGGTTTTTCAAACTTCTCTGACTCTGAACCACAATAATATATTGTGTATTATATATGCTTATACCTTAGTATATACATGTACATACAACCAAAATGGAAGTATCACAAATCAATACTCATGCTACCACATGCAAAATATGCCGATATTTTCTTTTTTATTTTATTCTGTTCCATTTTTTAAATTCTGGGCATGACCCACTAGATTGACTTAGACCTGCTCACTAATAGGTCTCAGCCACAGTTTGGAAATCACTGCTCCCAGAAGGACATCTTTCTGCAAAGTGGAGATGCAGACTTTTCTTTCCTTATTGATGGAAGAGAATCCAGTTTTTCTTTTCTTTTCTTTTCTTTCTGTCTCTTTTTATTTTTTATTTTAAAGATGTGGGGTACAATTCAGGGTTAGGCATACAGATGTTCATTATACAGGTACCCTTGTTAATGAGGTGTACTCCCCCTCTCCTGGCAGTTTCCCACTACTGCCAATCCCTTTCTTATCATATTATGATAATTGTTTAAGGTCTGCTTATAAGTGAGAACATATGATACTCTGCTCTTTGTTTCTGCGATAGATCACTCAGTATTATAGACTCTAAATCCATCCAAGTCACTGTGAAATCCATAAGAATCCAGTTTCTTTACACTGGAAATCTCCAAGAGGGGGACATAATACTTTTCCTGGCCGGGCGCAGTGGCTCAGCCTGTAATTCCATCATTTTGGGAAGCCAAGGCAAGAGGATTGCCTGAGTCTGGGGGTTCGAGACCAGCCTGGGCAATTTGGCAAGACCTCGTCTCTACAATAAATCACAAAAACTAGTCGGGCATGGTGGCATGCATCTGTAGTTCCAGCTACTTGGAAGGCTGAGGCAGAGGGATTGCCTGAGCCCTGCAGGTCGAGGCTGCGGTGGCTGTGAGCGTGCCACTGCACTCCAGCTTGGGCGACAAAGAATGAGACTCCAACTCAAAAAAAAAAAAGGCATAATACGTTCCCAAACATTTCACAGTTGTAACCTTTTAGAAGCCCTTGTGTTTCTGGGCAGGGGTCTCCAGCTATTCAGCCTAGAGACCAAGGAATGGGCTTCCCAGAGTGAGTTCTGTTCACTTCCCTGTACCACCCTCTACCCACTAGCTTCCCAGCAGCTCACTAGGAGCCATAACAGTGAAGCTGGTTTGAGCTACTGGGGATACATAGTGCCTCCTGCTGAAAGGAGATAAACTGGGAGAAGGAACAGGGTTCAGAGTGAAGAGTTTGGTTTGGGCCAACTTTGAGATGCTTATGAGATGAAATCAAGAGGTAGAAGTTGGACACCAGGTGTCTTAGTCCGTCTGGCTGCTAAAACAAATTACCATTCACTCGGTGGCTTATAAAGAACAAAAATGTGTTTCTTACAGTTATAGAAGCTGGGGAGTCCAAGATCAAGTCATGAGCAGATTCAGCATCTGGTGAGGGCCTGCCTCCTGGTTCACAGATGGCACCTTCTCACTATGACCTCACATGGTAGAAGGGGCAAAGCAAGCTTTCACAGGCCTCTTTTACAAGGGCACTAATCCCATCCATGAGGTTCTCATGACCTAATCACCTCCTGAAGGCCCCACCTCTTAATACAATTATATTGGAGATTAGGTTTCAATATATGAGTTTTGGGGGAACACAAGCATTCAGCCCTTAGCACCAGATATGGAACTCAAAGCAGTGATCTAGACTACAGAAAGAAAGTCAGCATACTCAGGAATGAGTGCTGAGAAAGATGAAAAGGATCTAGGACTGATTCCAGGGGAACCCTTTATTCTCTCTGGCTTCAGTTTTCTTATAACTAAAAGGAGTATTGGACCAGAAGATCTCTAGTTTCTTCCAGGACATTCTGCGATCCCCAACCTTTGGCTAAGTTTGAGATGCTTCTGAGACAACCAAGGGCTTAAGACCCTCAGATCTCCACCCTCTCCCCCCTTCCCTGCCTTTAAGCAGAACTGCATCTAATGGTAGACTTGGAAAGAGCAGCCTCCCAGGGGATTCAAATGACAGGCTTTAAAATGATGAAGAATCTGGGACTTTTCCCTAAATCCCAACACTAGGGACACTAGCACTAGGGTCCTCTTATAACTTGACAAAGGTAAATTGAGGGCAAACAAAATAAATTGTTCCCTTACAAATAGGGTTACAGATTATCCTAAAATATCACAGGCTGAAAATACTGTCACATACTTCTTGGGTGATCAAGTCATATGGGAAATTAGAGGTATTTAGGGGAGCTCTGGGACTCCAAGGGTGACATCATTTAGGTCAACCTGCCCTCCCACAATGGACACAGAGTCCCAGGCTCTCTGGTTTGCAGTCCTAACCTGACGTGACAGTTGCCCTATTCCTGCCCCCTGCAGATTTATGAGCTGTATAATGGTGGCTCAGTGCCTGTGACATATGAGATCCAGACCAACATCCTGTCACTGGTTCAGGAAAAAAATTTCGATCACCCCATCTTCTGCTGCCTCAACCCCAGAGGGGAGATCCAGCCAGGCACCACTGCTCGGATCTTATGGATCTTCTCACCCATTGAGGCCAAGACCTACACGGTGAGCAGCAGCCTGGGATAATATCAGGAGCGGGGGCGGGGCTGACTTCCTCAGGAGGCCTTCCTCTGACCAGTCCATTCCCCCACCCTCTCAACTTCTCAGGTGGACGTGCCCATACACATCCTGGGATGGAACTCAGCCATCATCCACTTCCAGGGAGTGGGCTACGACCCCCATATCATGGGAGACACAGCCCCATTCCACAACATCTCCTCATGGGACAACACTTCCATACACTCTAGGCTGATGGTTCCTGGACAGGTGGGAGAGAGGGAGCTGGGAAGGCCTGAGGCCTTGGCAGAGAGCAAGGGCGGCCAGAACAGAGGGGTGGGAAGCCTGGGAAGGAAATGAGATGGAGTTGAGGAGGGAAGGATGCAGAGGTGAGGCCTGGAAACCACCTTCCTCCAGATTTAGGAGGCAGTACCGGCTCCATGAGAGGCTTACCCTGCCACCTAGTGCCCACAAGCGTTCCTACTCTACCAGCTACAGAGCCCTCCATCCCACCCTCTTCTCTGGGCATAGAGATGGGAGTATTAAAGAGTGTAGGTATTCCAGGTATTCATACAGAGCAGTCCTTCGACTGGACCTAGGTGGATTTTGGTGTGATATATCTAGAGCCAATAATACTAGTTCACACACTCCTCACTGTTAGAAGGTCTGACCCATTCATCCATCCATCCATCCCCCTATCCATCCATGCGTTCCTCCATGGGCTCATTGACCCACATTTACTCATCTGTGTATCCATTCCTCCATCCTTCTATCTACCCACCCACTCACTTCTGCATTCATCCATCCATCCCATCACTATCCACTCACATAGCCACCTGTCCACCCTCCCACTCATTGGTCTCCTTCTCTAGGATTAACACTGCAGAGGCCCTTGGGAGACAAAAAAGAGCCAAAGTCCCTGCCCCGAAAACACTCAGGATCTGTACAGAGAGAAAGTGCCCCTTCCGTGTGGTCTCAGTCTTTCCAGGCATCCCTACAACAGAGCTCCTATTCTGTGCCCAGTACAAATGCCAACAGCTGAACATCTCACTCATTGACAACTATCCCTCAGAGACTCAAATTATGTTGTCTTTAGTTCTGTCTTCTCTAAGCTAATTCTGATTCAGCCCTTCCAAGCCTATTTTCATGGTTGAAATCATAGATTTTGGAGTGTGAGTGCCTAGGTTTATATCAGCTATGTATGTGGAAGATTGCTGGAAAAATTATTTGTTCTCTCAGAACCTTAGTGGCACATCTGTAAAAGGGGGGCAATAGCTAGTACCTACATCATAGGGCCGCTGTGAGGATTAAGTGCACGTAAATACCTAACACAGTACCTGGCCTGTTGAAAGCAGCCAGTAAGTGGTAGCGGTTGTGTGGTTATTGCTTCTCCTCCTCCAAAGTGGAAATCCCAGATATGTTGTCTCCACCCACAGAATGTCTTCCTGTCCCAGTCTCATATCTCCCTGGGAAACATCCCTGTGCAGAGCAAGTGCAGCCGTCTGCTCTTCCTCAACAACATCTCCAAGAACAAGACATTTGTCTTCGCCTGGCAGCCAAGTCCCCTAGACTTTGGAGAGGTGAGAGTCCCCTGAGCCCACAGAATTAGAACCTCCAGCAAGGCTCCAGATGCATTCCGTCCTATCCCATCTCACCCTACCCTCTTGTCCCATCCTGTCCCATTTCATCTCATCTTGCCCATCTCATCTCATCTCATCATCTCATCTTGTCCCACCCCATGCAATTCCATCCCTGTGAAACTCCATAGACTCCTCCACCAAATTAATAGGTGTCTGTGAGTCCCATGATAGGGGAGGTGGCTCCTGAAGAGACAGTGCCATTTGTGGTGACTCTGAAGGCCTCAGTGCATGCCAGCTTCTACAGTGTGGACCTGGTATGCAAGGTAAGAACCAGCTACAGAGAGAAGGTGGGATGGGGTTGCATCTCCCAGTCCTGGGGATGGGGTGGGTCTGAGATCCAGAGAAATGCAGAAGCCAGCTCTTGGAAGGGTGGGGCCCCCCAGCACAGGCTCAGGGCGAGCTCTGGGTGCAGGCTCTCCAAACCTCAGCCTTTTCTCTTCCTGTCCTGGGTCACAGGTATACCCGCAGGAGCTCATGAGGCAATACCATGAGGAGTTGCAGGAGTGGAAGGACGAGAAGGCATGGCAGGAAGTAGAGTTCACCATCACAGACAGGAAAGTGAAGGTGAGGAGGGCTCAGCAGGCCTCACATACTCAGATCTTTCTGACTGGCCTTACCAGAGGTGACAGGGTTAGTGGGTCAAAGTGGCCTTCCATGGAAAACTGACCGGTCTGCCCTAAGAGATTAGACTCCATTCATTGGACTTGACATAGCATCTCCACAGCCATCCCAAAAGACTCTCTGGGTAGAGAAGGCTGGCTGACCACTCCCACTTCATGTAGCCAGTGTTTAATGAGTGCCTACTATGTGCTGGCACTGGGAACACAGGGGAAACAAGGCAGAGCTTATCTTCTGGTGGAAGACATTGCAGCTTCAGGTGCAGGCTCTGGAAACAGATCACCCAGGTTTGATTCCTGGCTTTGACAATTTCTAGCTCTGTGATCTTGATCAACTTATTTAACCTCTCAGTTCCTTCAGCTACAAAATGGGGGTGACATGATATCTGGGATTTCCTTCAAAGTAACCCAGAGGTGAGGTGCAGATGACACTAGACTGGCCATGAGTTGCTAATTGTTGAGGCTAGGTGATGAGCAATGGAGGAGTCTTTGAACTTTTCCATATTAAAAGGTTAAAAATAAAATTCTAAAATATTTATTAATGCAAGTAAAATGTCTGCTTTGTAACATTGTGAGCATTAAATGAGTTAACACAAGTAAAGTGTCTAGTACTGTGCCTGGCACCCAGGAAGGGCTCACTAAACAGGAGTTATTTGTATGTGGGTGGGGTGGGGACTGACAATAAACATGAGACAACACTTCTGTCTTGGCTCCTCCCCCAACTTCACAGCCTCTCTACACTGGCATTTTTGCTCCTCAATCACCTCTGTGGATGCCACACTGAACCCCCAAGGAGGCAATGCTCCCTTCTGAAGCTCTGGCTCAACTGTGAATACAAATTACTTCTTGGGGACACAGGAGAAGGGATTTTTGAATTAAGTCCTAATTGGGGAGGCTGTTTTCTTGTCTCACAACCCACAGAGTTCCAGGGCAGACGGGAAAGCACCCTTGGGGTAGCCTGCTCATGTCTGGTGGCATTTCCTTCTCTTTCCTTCATTCAGGAAAACAGAATCTCCTTGTCTACAGGCAGCCCTTCCCTAGGGAAAGTTCTAGAAGAAAGCATGACTGAAAGTTGGGCAGGACCAAGAGTGCAGCAGGGCCTGGCATTGGCTCAGGCCTTCTGTGGGTCAGCAAGGGGGTCAAACTCTTTGGCGCTCTTGCATTTAAGCAAGGGTCTCTCTGCTTCCACAGAAAAGAGCATGTTGTACAGCCTGTGAACCTGTGAGGAAGTATAAGGTGAGGCCATAAGCCCTCGACCCATCTTCTTGGAATAACTCAGGAGGGTCCTTGCTTGCTCCCAGAAATACTTCCAACCCCTGGTCCAGCCTTCCAGAAGGAAGGAATGAAAGTGCCAATGGGGAGAGCCACATTCCAACATGGTCCAAAGGGCCTGATTAGGGAGCTAGGCCAAAAGACCCCATTGGTGATGGGAGTGTGGTCCCCAAACTCCTGTCCTTCATGCATCTCCCTTCCCAAAGACGCTGCCCCCCATCAAGAACCAGAAGTCTGTCAACCGACCTGCCAGCTGGAAATTGCAGATCCCTAAGGAGGAGACATCTTGGCCATGCCCCCAGCCGCCCTCTCCAGGCATGCTCTGCCTGAGTCTCACTGCCCGAGCCCATGCCACCGACTACTTTCTGGCCAACTTCTCAGACTTTTCCTGCCACTTCTTGTACCAGTAAGCTCTAGGAGAGGCAGGGACCTCCCTCCTCTACTCCCTGTATCTTCTTCTGCGCCACAGCGAGGGCTGCCCAGAGCCAACCCTGGGTGAAGGGTGAAGCAAGTGCAATGGTAGTGGGGCGAATTGGGCCCAGGATGCCCCTCTTACTGCTTAGGCCCTCATGAGGAGGGAGACAAAGCTGCCAGAGCCCACTGGTGAACCCACCTAGATCTCCCCGCCTCTCCTTGTTCCTTTTTTTCCCAACTTGGAGCCTCACTAGCTCCTGCACTGACTCTGGGGGTTGAACTTAGTTCCCTGAATGCCATAGCACTATATTTGGGTTAAGTCTGGGGGTGCCTCAACTCATCTATGTCCTCAGGACTGGGCAGCTACCTCCATTGCTTGTGTTCCTAATCCCAGCATGGTGGCTTGCCCAGGCCACTCACAGTGTCATGGCCTGCCACAGGGAGCTGCCAAAGAGGAAGGCCCCTAGAGAAGAGTCAGAGACTTCTGAGGAAGAATCCCCAAACAAGTGGGACCCTGTATCCAAGCAGAAGAAGCAGCTCCTAGTTGATATTCTCACCACCATCATCAGGTACCAGCCCAACCCTGGGCCCCACATCTTGGGCCCTCAGCCCCACCTTCCCCTCCCTCCAGCTCATTTAGCCAAAGCTCTTTAAGTTCCAGCACTTCCTTCCATGAGAAACAGAACTTTCTTGCAAGATTCCTCCATGGGACTCCCCACCACTGCCCAGGGCAGTACAGCTCTAATGGAACTGTTTGGAGGGGCCCTCGGGGCTGTGGCCTGAGTTCTGTCCCATTTCATGGCTGGTAGATGAGGTCTGGAGCCAGTTCACTGCCTCTCCAGGGCTCCTGCCTCTCCTCAGTGTAATTGTGGCCTACTGGCCCTGCCTCCACCATATCATATTCACCTCTAAGAATCCATGGGGCCCAAAGATGTCATCTTTGAAAGAAGGGAGGGGCAACTGACCAGGGGCTCTTCTCCCCCACCTAGCACCCCCCCACACACACACACACCTAGTACCTAGTCCTGAAGCCAGGGCTCCCAGGGGACTGCAAGTCTCCTCCGTGAAGGCCTTTTCCTCTTTCCTGCTACCTAGGGGACTGCTGGAGGACAAGAACTTCCAAGAGGCTGTGGACCAAAGCTTGGTGGAGCAGGTCCCATACTTCTGCCAGTTCTGGAGTGAGCAGTCAGCCAGGTTCATGGCCCAGAAGAACAATCTGTACTTAGTGCCAATCCTGTCTCCGCCTTCCAGCAACTGGGAGGATGGGAAAGACCAGCAGCCAGAGGAGGACAAACAGGAGAACAATCTGAGGTTGGGGGAGAAGGAGGGGGACGAGGAGGAGAAGGGCGAAGAGGAAGAAGAGGAATTGGAGGAGGAGGAGGAGGAGGAGGAGGAGGAGGAAGAAGAGGAGGAGATGGAAGAGGAAGAGGAAGAGTTGGGCAAGGAGGGGATAGAGGAGGAGAGCGGGGAGCAGGAAGAGAAGGCAGCCTGGTCAGAGATCAAGCCCATGCTGCAGCCCGAGTCCCAGGAGTCCATGCAATGGCGATGGCAGCAGCAGCTGAAAGTCATGGTGAAGGAAGAGCAAGAACAGAACGAGAAGGAGGCCATCGGAAGGTGAGCACCCAGCCCTCAGGTGAGGGTTGGAAAGGGGCCACGCATAGAAGGTTCCTAGGAGGCAACAGTACGCTGAGGCTGGTGGCTACTTGTTCCTGACTCAGCATTCAGTGACATCAGATTGGTAGCTTAAGCCCTCAGTGGGAGTATTGGCAGAGCAACAACAATGAGCTTTATTTCTTTTTTCTCTTGAGAGCTACTTGTTGACATTTACCAGCACACCACCGGTGGTTATAGTCTTCAAAGTCTCTTAAATGGGTTTCTAGAGTCAGAACAGGAGTGCCACCTTTTCTTGCAACGCCTTCCCCTGGAGGCGCTCCCTGGATGCTTTCTGACCTTGTGGTGATCCCCTAGGCCCCACTGGGTCCCTGAGACACCCTCTCATCACTTTGCTGCCTTTCTCCAAACCTGGCCCTGGGATGCCGACTACATTGCCTGGGTTTGAATCCCAGCACTTCTACCAGCAGCATGACATTTGACAACTCAGTCTCTTTCAGTCACACTCTGGGCATCCTTCAAATGGAAACTAGGACGTCCCATAGTGTTGAGCGGTGGGGTGGGGGG